TATGTCAAAACGAAAAAAATTATTACCGGCAGAATTCTGTACGATGATTTTTTTAAGTAGAATTTTTCTTTGAAAAAAAGTGTTTCAGGCCCAAAAAAATTAATATCTCAGAAACTTCTTGATTTTTTTATCTAAAAAAATTTGAGGTTATTTAAGACAGAGAAAGGTATACTTTCACCAAGTTTCGTCAAAATTAAATTATTTTTGCGGAAATGTGAAATAAAAAACGAAAAATCAGAAAAAAAACTGTTTTTCGCTTTTTTCTCGGAAATTTTGAGGTTATGTTAAAAAATGACCTCTACAAGAGTTGTAGATTTTTGTATGATCTACAACTTTTGTATTGGATACTTTTTTGTCTGACGTCGACTTTCGCCAGAAATCCTAATGATACAATTTTTCATAACTTTTCCACCCCCCAAATCACCCTCCGCCGACCCTGCTCTCGCATTTATTTTTTTTTTCGTTTATATGTTTACTATTTATGATGGTCCGCTATAGTCTAAAAATTAGAGATGCGCCCGTTAAGATTTTATATTGTTACAAAACCCATCTTCTTTTTTTATCGAAAACAACAATTGATGATGATTGATGATGCATCTGCAGATTTTTTAAAAACTAAACTTTCTCTCAAAAACGAAAGTCTTCTAAGTAATTTATTTCTACGTGATTTTTCGTCGATGTTCGTTTGTTACTCAAGTACGTGCTTAGAATAAAAGTACGTACTTGAAATGAAGGTTAGCTGCACGCCTATAAAATGACGGGGCGCATGTGTAGCCCGGTGGTCGGTGCGCCTGTTCTGTTACCTCTTACTACTGTCAGTTGCACTGGTTTTTGGTTTACAGTAACGTCCTTAGGGTGTGTTCTGTCCGTACGGCACACTTGTAATTATTCACGTGACGTGGTGGTGTGCCGTTGGATTTTTTTGTGATTCCCGAGTTATGTTCAGTGATCAATCGCCCAAAACATAAACATCGTCCGCGATAGTAGGAGTGGTGCGGCCATCATTAAGATTTCCCGGCTAAGTTGTGCTTACGCCCGATTTTAGGCAACCCGTAACGCCGCGGAGTGTGTCGCTTGCATAATCCCCAGGTGTTTGCATGTGCAGCCTCACCCACTTCCCAATTGAATAGATGGTGTTTATTTACTTTTATTTACACGTTCGTGCAAATGTCAAGTAGCGCGGGTGGTTTTCCGATAGTTTCCGGCAAAATCGGACTCGCGGTAGTTTGCTGACTTTTCCTGTATGTCCGGTTGTTTACGGTTTCTAAAATGACCGAGGAAGAAGTCCTCTTCGACGACGTCTACGATCTCTGTGAGGAAATTGGAAGGTACGAGGGTTTTAAATTAGTTGTTTATTTCTCGGTACACTGTCGTCATGTGTAAATTTTAAAATAAATGCCGCTGGTACCTTTAAATAAAAATTACGTTATGTTCTTTGCTTGTCTGCGGTTTTAGTTAGCCAATAAAACGTATAAACTAATTGTGTCGACAACAAATTTGTTGCTTTTATAAAATAATATATTGTCAAGGACGTCTCTGTTTCGTATATTCATTAATGCCCTTGTAATATCATTAAAAAATTGAGTTTATATCTATTTTTGTTCATACTATAAAGTATAAACTAAAATGATTTACTCTACTTAAAGATAAATACTTATGACATAAAATAAAAGTCAATAAATAATGTTTTTTATCAGTTAGATAATTTACAGAATGATTTATAACGCTAATATTTACTTTAACAATTTTTTGCCAGTTATTTTGAGGAATTTAATGAAATATGATACTATTTATATGCATGTTGCTATTCATATGTAAACAATTTATGTGTATTGTGGTAATTCATATGTTTGCAAGGATGTTAAAAAAATGGAGATGGATGTGTCAAATGTCTGGCATGTCATAAGTAAATGATGAAGTCATATGGCGAATAACACCGAAATTATTAAAACTATAATTTAAAGCGGTTTGTAATTAAATATATGCAATTCTGGCAATTATACGATCATAAATAAAATTCTATTTCATGTTTACCAATTTGCTGCGAGGAAATTTTACTCGGAATAGCCAAATACGATTTGGTTTTCGGTTTGGATCCAATATTTTGGTTTTGTAAATCATTGGTTTGTTGCTAGGTGGGATAAATTGATGAAATTTACGTTCCCAGTTTTATTTTATGTGTAAAATGTGAAAATTTTAAATAATTTGTATTTACGTTTCGTACTGCTCTGTTTAAAATAACAAAGGTAATGTTTCAATGAGTGTTTCTGGCATTTGCGAATATTTCGTAATACCTCTCGCTTATTGTGAAGTTTACCGCGAGAAAAATACACTGTTGTTTCGAGAGATCGAGAGGACGTACTTATTCCCAAAGAATAACAATCTACTGGTACTCACAACATGTTGGTTATTTGCAAATTCGACCACCACTTCTGACCTTACAATCGATCGAGCCTGATTGATGGTTATATAGGTCAACAGGCCAACATGTCAGCATTGTAGGTGTTTGAGAATTAACGTTGTTAACTGTAATGTTTAAAATATTTATGGGACCAATCGAAGGACCACCTGTATTTATGTGTATGATCAAGGCCATAGACCACCATCAAGGCCATGAATTATTTTCCATTTTGAGAGTCAAAATATGTGCATCGTAAAGTCATTTACATATCAAATCATGGAAGTTGTGACGATAACTTTCCAAATATCTGAAAATTAACTTTTTGTTACTTTTTTTTTCTTAAATTTCAATTAAATTTAGTCTATGAATATTTCTGTCGAGAATTAATATTTATTGCTTATCTAAGGTATAATCGTCGTTAATATCTGAAATATTCTTTTGTTTTGTCGTTTTTTTTTTGTTGTAGAGATTTTGAGAAAACACGTGTTTCAGTAACTTTACTTTTTTACGACATAGATTAATTTTTCTCTATATAAGTGTAAATCGAGACCTGATTGGAAAAAAATATTTATTACAGCTATAAATTTAACAAAGAGATTAAGTTCAATTAGACCAAAATGCCCTCAAAATCTCAACAGTAATTGACAAGTGAATTTTTTTATGTAACCATACATTTTAGATACACGGAATAAAACATTTTTTTACGATAAAGTGAAGTTTCATAAAAAATCCGCAGTTTCTCAAAATTTATAGATAAAAAAAAGTGCAAAAACAAAAAACTGTTTTAGAACCCTTATGTTTTAAGTAAAAAAATAAGACTAGGTTTATTTTCGGCCACCAAAAAACCTTGTTACACTGAATATCACTGAAATATCATAAAAAGTTGGGGAGTTATAAAAAAGAATAAAATAAACAGTTTTTTCGACAACCCATAGCTTTTTAAGGTAACAAAAACAAAACTTAATCCAAATAAGATTATTTTCATCCAATTCTGTATCTGTTATAGATTAAACTCTGTTTTTGTCATTTCATCAGGTTTTACAAATGTATCTTCGGATTTGAAGAGAAAAGTGTATTAGTAGTCAAGCATATTAGCCAACATTTGCGTGATGTGAGAAACATAAACAAATGGGTTAAACCCCAAAATAAAACAAACATGCTTTGTTGGAAAGCCGAACATTTGGGTAATTTATTTACAAAACAATTCTAAAATAAAAACAAGCCTGTTGCCCTCCATGTGTGGAAAACGTACTGTTGTTTTGGCTGTAAACAAATATGTATATAGGGTGTTAGTAAAGTTTAGCACAAATTTCATAAATGGCCCAGTAATTTATTTTTCCTGCTAGCAACATTGAAATGGGTTTTCATCTTTCGATATTTTTGGAAGGTGCCTCGCAATTCGCAGATTTCAATGAAATCACAATTCGATGTCTTACCATGACATACCCAATAACATAAATTAATCCAACAGTCGAAACGGTGTGTCGCTTTTGTACCTATGGCGCACATTTGATAAGAAAATCATGCTGTCGAATATACCGATATGCACCATCCACGCGATGCGGCATTTGTTTACGTTTGTACTTGGGCAGATCTACACATATTCATTTTCTCGATTGTACATTCGTCTATTGTTTATATTTGGTCTTGGCAAATATTTGACAAGTGGCCGCTTACGATTTCGTGATATAAAAAACCTAATCTAGACTCAATCAGTTAATTTATGATTGGAGATAGCGTTATACTTTATGACGCACCTGTATCTAGAGCATTTCCCCCCCTTTTTTACGCTACCCTACGTAAAGTACGATCCGTATCTTTTTTTTATAGGCAACTTTTCACTTGCAAGCCGAAAGAATGAACTTAGGGGCATAATTAAGTCATGATAGTGGCTCGGCCGTCGACGTGGCTGGGTAGATTGTTTGCCCGTTCGGTCGGAAGCGCTTATGAATATTTTATGAAGTTGGCAAAACTTTTTAATGCCCTATTTAGTGAACTATTCGGTAATTGTAGGCCAAATATACCTTTGTCCTATTCACTGGAAGCATTAGCTTTCGAATTTTCAGGGTTTTGTATTTTTTATGATACACTGAGAGAAGTGGTTCATGCTGTTGTGACAATAAAACGTCTAAGATTGAGATATATAGAAATTATATTACAATCCCCGTTTGTAAGGATATATCGTACACTCTATTTCCATTAACCACAATCGCAAAAGTTCGGTAGTAGTATTAAAAGACGAACGAATTTCTATAAGCTTAATTCAGTTAGCTTCGAAGTTAAACTCGAATGATCCATTAAAATAAACGATCTATTAAACGTTGCAGCTGTAGAGAATTCCTCGGAGTTGTATTTTTCCCTGAAATCGACTGTAATATTACCGAAAGCTCTCGGCAACATACGGAAACCTGAGAAGTTTAGCCGGAGAATATTTGGAACGAACCGAACGACGGAACTTTATTATTGGACTGTTAAAATTGTCGAGTAAATCTCGAATTAATTTTCCAATTAGCTCTAGGTGGATTTTTAATTTACCGGAAATCGCCCGTAAGTACCGCCTAATTAGATTCAAATAAAAGTTGTTAAATTTAATGCCTTCAAATCAAACCGTGAAATTTGTTGGAGAAAATCGGGTTTATGACCGCGAAATTCAAAGTACTAGATTTCGAGTTTTATGTATATGGGGTGCGCAACTACTGTAATAAAATACAGGGCGTAACGCGTGACGGAAATGTTGGGAACTTAATACTTAAACATATTAAATAATAACGAGCTAATAACCGTACCCTGAGGTACCCCAGAAGTGGCAACGATTTTAGTGGATGTAAAACCACGAGACTAACCTTTTAATGATATGTCACAAAGGTCAAATATCAAATGTCAAATTAATGTCGGTATTAAAACTTAATTAAATTTGTTTGGCGCCCAATAACTCCGCTAAAATTGTTATAGGACTTTGTAGCGTTAATTTTTCATGTAGAAATATACCAAGTCGTATTTAGAAAGAATCACGCGACATGCTGTGACTGTAAATTTCGGTCGCAAACTTTAATCGATACATTTTTTAGACTTAAACTGCCAAATTAGAGCCGGTCGTTTGAATATAAACGAACATATTAACCTGACGTGACATCGCAGCATGCAGGTCCTTTTTCATTCCGTGCCGACGGTTTAACGAGTGGTTCACTGGGTGCGTGATTAGGCCTTGAGAGTGAAATTGTTCATGAAGTCATAGCCTGTGAGCATACATCAGAGCAAGTACTGATACTGTACCGTTCGTATTATTGTAGAAACTGCCTCTTGTAGTCCATATATTTGAGGGTATATTTCTCTGAGGTAAAAATAAGCGAAATAGGTTTTATAAACCCTCAAATTTTTGAAAAAAAGAACAATTTGTTTAACTTTTCACCTCCCCGTAGTAACTTTACTAAGTTAGTTGAGTTAGTTAGTGGAAGCAGTTGAACTTCCCTTTGTAAATATTTAGTTGCAACCATGGGCGTAGCTAGAATTTTTGCTTAGGGTGGGCCTAGGGCTGCAAGCCCTATGCTCTAAAAAAAGCTTTCGCAATCAGTAACTTGCCCAATAAAATTTGAAAAACCTGAACACGTTTTGATTTCATTCTAAAATAAAAGGTGACGCAGTCGGCAATATGCTGATGTCATAAACGATAATATTAGATCTTTTTTCTGGGGTGGGCCGTACACGCCCCTGCTTCCCTTTAGCTACGCCCATGATTATAATCAATATAGGGTCAAATGTAAAAAGTATTAATCCCATAAAATCTAATTCATATGAATTTAAATGTTTTATAGCCATTATACTATCTTTATACTTATACAGGATGTTTCGGTTTATGTATCGATTATTCCTTCATAGGATTTTTTAGTGTTGATATTTGAAAAAATATATTTTATAAAATATTTACGA